TGGGCCTTTCTCTCCACAACCTTACAAGCAATGAAGGAAATCACCCCAAATCTGTGTGCTGAGGTGCATTTCTTACCCCATTACCCCCAGAATGGAAGTTTTTGAGTTTGTGTGCATGTGATTTCAGTTTTTTAAAGGCCCCCAGCTCCTTCCCTCCCCTGTGGTTGAGTTCCAAAGCTGCTGCTTCCCCCTCTCCTGGGCTCRGAGCCTGGTTTGTCCCTGCTGGGGCTGCCCCCAGAATATGGAATCCCCTTTTGGAGCCCACCCCAGTTCAGGAGGGATGATAAAATGCTCAGTGACCTAGAGCATATCCCTGCAAAGAGATCTTGAGGATTTCTTTAAAGCCCACATGGAATTTCTCAGTTTGGGGTCAGAACAGCCTSGGTGAAAAGGATGGACAAACCCACTCAGGATGGAAATATTTGACTCMAAGCCACTGCAGGTGAATTCAGGTGCAACACTCTCAGATTGACAACCCTCATCCTCATTGCTGGTTGGGAGTTTGACAATAAAGGGGAGCAAGAGGGGCACTGTCAGATGAATTTATGTTCCTGCCCCACATCAGCAGAGTTTTGTGTGTGTGTGTCCTGCCTGCAATATGCAATAACACAGGTGAGAATGATGCTTTAGGATTTTTAATTTCTATATTTTCATGTATCTGTATTCTTGTAGTCCTCTAGTACAGCACTAAAAACTACCATTCTCCCATCTTTAAACAAAACAATTCCTCTCTRAGCCTGAATCCAAGGACACCTCAGAGCCCCAAAATATGGAAACAACAGAGAATTGAGGGGAGCAAGTTTGGGGTGGTTGACATCATCACCTGTAAAGATCATTGGAGAATTAAGACCCAATATGTTAATAAGGCAGAACTTATAAAAGGTGAAGATCTCGTGACCTGGTGTCCATTTGGGGTGCAGCCTCAGGAGGAGGCTTTGTCTGCCCCAATGTACCAATAGGAATGTTAGGCTTGGATTAAAGTTGTCTATTCTCATTCTCTTAAGGTTTTCTGGCCTCTGTTTCAGATCAGCCTGATTGATAAAGCATCAATAAAGCAAAGACTGTATAATTTTAATTAGAAAGCAAGACTGAAGTCCCACCTTGAAAACCACCCTGAAAGCACGAGCCATAAATAAAGCACACAGAGAGGGATTTTCTTTCTTCAATTTAATTGAAGTTACTTAGAAAAATAATCAGGCTTGAATGGCTTTTTTAAGGAAAGATTCATGAGCAGTTCACACTTGTGTTGGCAATGTATAATTTATCTTTTTTTCTTTATTAACAGTATATTTAAGTATGAGGAGATACTTTTCTACAACAAGCCTTCTACTGCATACAAATAGGTTAAAAAAAAAAAAATCCAACCCCACATTGATGTTAAATTATTCGTACACATTGTATTGTGCATGCATGTAAGAAAATAACACTCTCTGTAACAAGAGTAATAGTAAGGACAGTCCCTTTTTGTACCTGAAAAGTGCAGCAGACTACAGTGAAACCCTAAAACATCTGGGGTCAGCTTCTAAAAGCACTTCTGCTCATGGGTGATGCATTTCCCTGCCTTGCACAGCGCTTGGGTCAGGCTGTTTGGACATTTCCATGAGGATGGAYGTGGTTCACGGGRAGGATGAAGCASAGACCCAACTTTGGGGGATGTCCCAGCACCCAGGGGTCACCCCATGCTCACCCCAAACYCAGCTCTCTCAGGTGAAGGTGCTCGGGGCCATCTGGGGCAGTGACCCCACCAACACTGCAGCCACTGCTAATTTCAAACTCAGATCTGCACCCCAAAATAGATCTGGAGCACTAAACAGCCACGTTGGAGTCGTTTGGGATTGGGGTTTTTTCAAAAGCACCCACCTGAGTCCACAGAAAAGCCTTCTCATGGCTGAGCATCCACCTGTAGAGCAGCCCTCTCTGGGGAGCCAGAATTTGGGTAATCAAACCCAAAACTTGTTAAAAATCTCGGCTGGAGCAATGGTGACCCCTCAGATTTCCTGAAYATGTTTTTCACCCTAAAGCTTTTCTATCCCAGCTACAATATAGAGGTTTTGTGTCTCCAAAGCTGTTGAACTACAGAGAATATTTCAGAACAGAAAAAAATGTGGTGATGATGCCAGAGAAAAGTACAGAAAAGAGAAGCACACCCTGTTTTTTTAATATTTACTTTCTGAAGCAACTTTTGTCTTAATTAAAAAAAAAAAACAAAACCAAACTCATCACATTCTGTTGGAAGGGATTAACAGCTAACTGAGGAGAAAACTGGACCAAAATATGAGAGCTGTGGGATGGAAGAGCAAACTGGCACACAAAGAGCTTGTAGGAAGTTTTTGGGGAGGAGAAGGGGAATTTGCCTCAGACAGTTTGTTTTTTAACCAAACATACAAACATCAAACTGGGAATGGATCAGGAATTGGGAGGGGTCAGACACAGCCAGCCCTTTGCTGGGGAAATAGGGACTGGGTTATGGAAACTGTGGCTGTTCCAGAATGGATGAGGGATTTATTTGTATGGTGTGATAGAAAAAACAATGACCTGAATTCTGCCTAAAGACCAAATCCAATTGTGAAAAGACTTCAGCTGCTGCTTGTTACGTTAATTTTGTTTTTCAATGAGATTTATTCAGCAAGTTACTTTTATCAAATAAAATGYGAACTATTTTTCTTCTTTAATCACATCTGTGTCCTGGAAACGAATATAATTCAGTGGATATTACTGGCTACTGTACAATACGACATTTTTCAGGATCTGACTCTGATATTGTTAGAACAGCTCTGCCTTCAGCTGAATTTATTTAAATCATCAGTAATTTTTGACAGGGTTGGTTTTGAGAAGAAGATTGACACGCAGGCAATTTAAACCCCCCATTTTTAACCATCTATCAGCTTTAAAACAGATCTTTAGATTTTCACAAGTGCTTCAATTTAGCCCATCAGCTGAGGTGGCTGCAGAGCATTCCCCAGGCCAAACACCTCACCTGCCTCTGACTGAAGCAAAAATGTGCAAAAACTTCTGCTCCCACTAGCTAGCTAACAAATCCTCACTGAAATCCCAYTTTTCATWCTTTATCTGCTGTGTATAAATTACMGTTTCCTTCCCCAAAACAATCTGCCATCCCCAAAAGCTGCTAAACACAAAACAACTGCTACTGAGATACTCCCCTTGAGAAAAAAAAGCTCATGGGCTTTCACTAGAGCTGACTTCGATGAATTTCTAACCCACTGGAACTTAAAAAAATCCCCTTCATGTAGGCATCAACTAAAAAAGAAGGCTGCTTCTCCACCCTAGGAAAGAGCCATGAAACCAGCACGTGGGAAGATGAGACCCTTTTTATTGCCATGCATGCTTAGAGAATCAACATGATGACTTTTTGATTTTTTTAATGACATGCCCAGATSGTTTATAGCAACGTGTCGTGACCGATGTCTCCACAGCCACTTGGGGTTGCCCAAGTTTGATCAGTTTTAAGATTGATCAGGGAGGCACRACTTGAAGAGGATGGAGGTCCCTGCAGCCCCATCCTGGATATGAATTAAGTCAATGCCGATCGCTTTGGGCATTCAAAAATCTCTTCCAGTCACTTTCCAAATGCTGATTTTTTTTTTTTTTTTTTCTGTTGGACCATCCCCAATTGATTTGGGCTGGCAGGCTTCAAACTGAGAGACAAGGGGACTGGTCATACTCTTCATAAATTCATTAAGACTTATAAAACGTTCATGGTTTCTCTTCCTAAGGAATACATTCACATTTCTTTCAGTCATGGGTTTTACATGTCATGAATCTCTCCAAATCTCTTTTACTTTTCCTTTTCAGGCCTAGAAAGATAGATTTTGTACTAGTACTGAGTGCAACACCACTTTCTAAAGAACTTTTCTCAAAGTGTGTGGTATCCAGACCCATTCCCAGATTTACCTGCATCAATGGCTAATGGAAGAATATTATTACCCAGAACAAACTCAGTCGAGGAAAGCACAAAACCAGACTCCTTTTGTCCACATGTTATCTTATCTCTGCTGCTGAAGTGAAACCTACCAAGAGACAATGTTTTAAATAAGTATAAATAACATTAATTAGAATTGGAGGAATGCAAGAATCAATGAAAGTCACAGAACACAATTAACATTTGTTTAAACAGTGTAGCAGTATTATCCATTTCTACAGCTAGATCGTCACAATCCCGTTACCCTGCAAAGAGAGCTGTCCTTTCTTACAGTTGATTTAAATAATTTTGACTGTGCTGCTCGCAGCATCATTCAAAAAAAAGAAAATATTAATTTACAAAATAACCCATTCTCCATATTTATTATGACAAATAAAAATCTTAAATAAAACAGGCTTTCTCTCCCCTCTTTCCCCCCAACCCATCCCTCATTCCAATTTCAGGTAGCTTGGCACTGAGTAATTAAACATTAAAAAATCAAGTTTGTAGACTTCGTAGAGCTGCGTTTGGTGCAAGGAGCTGATGTTCTGGAAGAACTCTGTGGTCATTTCATCAGTAGTTCTCGTAGACTTTGCATAGGTGGGGAATCTCAGGTAGTTGCCAACTCCCGCCAGCTGGAGAACGTAATTGGAATCCTCTTCGAGCGTTTCGTACTTTCCTATGAGGTCGTAGTGGATGTGGCAGGGGTGGCAGAGGGAGTACACAGTCTGCCAGTGCTCGTTGAAGGGCTCCTCTCTCTGGGTGTGCGGGTCGATGAGATACGCCACAAACTCTTCGAATTTCACGTCGTCGCCTTTSCGCAGCGCTTCCTGCGTCGCGTTTTTCCGCTGGCGCCGCACGATTTTGGTGCCGTAGCGCTTGTGGAAGGAAGTGTTGTACTTCTGGGTGAACTTGTTCCTGTAGGCTGACACCAGCCTCTCGAAAGGCTCGCGGACAAACAGGAACTTCATGTAGTTTTTCAAGCGGTGGTTGATCTCTGGGATGCTGTACTGGTTGAGGGTCTTCAGGTTCGAAGACACGTGCGCTTCGTTGGCCGGGATTTCCATGGGGTCGCTGTATTTGCCTCTTCCCGTCAAAACCATCATGACTCTCTTCCAGTTGGTGCAGGCCACTTTGGGGACGTAGCAATAGATCATCTCGTGGTCTTCATCCACCACCAGGTGCTTGAGATCGTTGGGGGTCAGCACGCGGCGCTTCCTGCTGGACACGCTGTTGGCTCGGCACGTGTCGGTCACTTGGTCTCGTCTGATCTGATGAAGGATGGCCGTGTTGGACAACTGCAAAGGAAGAACAGGCACCAGCAGGTCAAGGGCTGGCAAACTCTCACTGTCTTTTTGATTATTGTACAAGTTCATCGAAAAGCAGGTGTTTCCCTGCATGGAATCGTTCATTTTACGGTTCCTAAAACTGTCACTATTCTACAAGATAAACTCTTTTTGTCTCCAAACTTCTTGATACTGCTCAGAAACATTTATTCAGAATGAAGACAAACAGGAAGAACTCACACAGCACATTGGCAAGTGCATTTATAGAACCTTCATCCTGACATCCTGASATGCTCACTGCTTTTCTCAGCTCTGCAGCCCATCCCATGGCCTCAGCAGGGTTGGACCTTTTGCTGCTGACATGGGACAGGAAGATTCCAGAGCTGGAAAATCCAACAAAACTCAAATGGTGWCTGTTCTTGTTACTGGTGTCTTTTRTGTTAGYGAATTTAATAGTTATTAGTTATKAAAAATAGTTAATAGTTATTAAAAATAGTTAATTTCTTGGTTATGGCCTTGACTATTGCTTACACGGCTATGCCCAGAATTAGTGAAGCTCATGGATATTCCTGCTGCTCTCCAAGAGGAAAATTCACTTCAATATGATGACAGTGCCAGTGCAGGGCTCCTGTGTTTGGGTATTCAGAGGTGTCTCTGCTTGGCACAGGGTTTTGCTGTACAGCCCAATCCTYGTTCCTGTAAATGCCTTATTATATATTGAGAATAAACTGCGTTAAAGCAGCAGAGGGGACATTTTAGTAATCTTATTTACATTTATTTARCAGCATTTACCTGTGAATTTCAAAGAGCCTTTTGCTCAATAATTAGTTTAGCCTCAAAGGCAAGAATTAAAGYAGGTTTTGACCTTCCTGTTTGATAGGTAAGGTTTGAGACTCCTTCTTGAATGCTGATTCTTTCAAAATTATTTATCTAATACCTTCTTGTTGAATTAACATGAATCACGATGCTGAAAAGAAGTATTTGAGACAACACAGTCACTACACACCTGCTGTGTGTGTTCCTTTGGTTATAGGGGCCTTCCTCCCTGCCAAAATCCCAGACAAAACCAGGATATGCCAGGCAAATGGTTTTGTCCTTGGCAAATGGTTTTGCAGCAGCTTGGAAGCTCATCCTGAACCTCCACGGGTCAAATCTCTGCTTTCAATAGCAGAAGTCAGCCAGGATTCATATTGAAAAAAAMCCAACAAAACTCAAAGAACAGGATCTAAATGGACTTTAGAGTCAAATCCCAAATGAAACTCCACGATGGGGCCAAGGCAGTTGCAGGATTTCTGAGCTTTGGAGAGAAAGGAAATAAAAYTGCACTGCTGCAGACAAACCCTGAGAGGCCGAGTTTCACCCACCCAAGGGGCAGCAAAAGCTTTTGCAGCACGAAAGCAACAGAGACTCTCTCCCCTCTGTGGGTTGCAGAGAAATGTTTTCATGGGATGAGCARCACCAAGGGGCTGGTGGAGCTTGATTTTGGGCAGGAGATCTTTTTCTGCAAGATGTCTTTTT